ATATAATATATATATATATTTAAAAGTCTGAGGGAACATACACCCAGAATAAAATATCAGAAGTAGGAGCGTCTTAAAGACCCCACGTCCTCTCTTGGAGGAGGAGGCTGAGAACAGAGGCCGCGGCCTGTGGTCACACAGTGAACGGCAACTGAACCCACTCCACTTGGTCTGAGTCCCCAGAGCAGGAGGAAGCACTGCGTCAATGTCACCCTGGTCTCTCCTGCGCCCCACCCCACACCCCCCGAGGTCACCCTACTTTCCTACAGGTGAGCAGCCCTGTGGGGTCCGGGAAGAAATCTACCCCCCTCTCCAACTGAGAGACACCTGCCTCCCACGGTGCAGGGAGGTCACCCAGGGAGACCCGAGAAGAGGGGAAGGAATGCTAACCGTGTCCCTGGAAAGAACAAGTCCTGGGTCCCGGTGGGTCTCACCGGCGATGCCAGCAGGTCCAAACCCCGGGCAGAAACTGGGGAGTCGAGGCCCAGATCAGTAATTGAGCAAAATAAACACCCCCCGGCCAGTCCCTCACCAGCGCTGGGGCAGTTGGAAGAGGACGGGGCCTGGGGCCACGCGGGCTGGAGGGTGCGGCTGCAAGGGGTGTCCAGTGACCCTGGAGTCGTGACTGTCCAGAGCTCATAAGCAACAGTCCTGACCACGTGAGGCCACAAGCAGACAAAATCCACCCCCCGTTTTGGCTTCATTTTCAGCCTTTGTCCACCTCTGCACCAGGTGCGTGACCTCCTCAAGTTCATGTGTGGCCACGGAGAGGGTCACGCAGCCAAGCAGGAGCCAGGGTCAGGCCACAGGCCTGGCGGGCAGGGCAGGTTCAAGGGAGGCTTCCAGATAAAGCCAGGAGTGCAGTCCCCTTTGGGGCTTTGCTCAGGGAAATGTGCCCGTGGTGTAAACGCAGGCAGGATTTACTGCAGGGAGAGCAAAATGCCTCAATCATTTCTGTTGTGAACAACCTTAAATTTCCTGGACAGAAATAATCGTGAGGAAATTCACACAGATAAACAAGGGAAGAAATAGACAGTTAATATGATCTTAAGAGAGGCTCTCTGGCCGCTGTGGCTCAGTTGGTTGAAGCATTATCCCTTACCCTGAAAGGTTGTGGGTTTGATCCTGGGTTGAGTGTGAACAGGAGGTAACCCATTGATGTCTCTCCCTCCCTCTCTGAAATCACTAAGAACACATCTTGGGGTGAGGATTGACAAAAAAGAAAAGGAGAGGAAGTCATAGCATACATAACTTCAGGAGGAAAACAACTTCCTTTCTGAGTCCACAAACACATATTCAAGGCAGGAAAACGGATTCCGTTCTACGTCTGTGTTTGTGGGTTGTTTGCTGGACCGGCACTTATGACCTCAATCTGAATGGTGTTTGGGTTTTGTCTCTTTAATGCCAGTGAGGTGACGGGTCCTTCCAGGAAAAGCTCCATGTGGGTCTTCATGGCTGCGGAGGATGATCCAACGGGGAAGCCAGCTCAGTGAGCTCCGAGTGTCACCAGGAGAACCGCCATCAATCCAGGTGCAGTAAGGCATGTGAGGAAACTGAGAAGCCACGGGGGGATGGGAAGGGGGGGTGACCTGCTCCCAGGCCTCCCTGGAGAGGGCACCCGTGCGGGGCTGGCCTAGAAAGCACCTGGCACCGGGAGGTTCCTGGCCAGGTGTGCTGAAGTCAAGCTTTGCGATGTGATGACTTCCTCTGACATATTAAAATGTGATCATGGTGCCCTGACCGGTTTGGCTCAGTGGATAGAGTGTCGGCCTGCAGACTCAAGGGTCCGAGGTTCGATTCCGGTCAAGGGCATGTACCTTGGTTGCGGGCACATACCCAGTGGGGAGTGTGCAGGAGGCAGCTGATCGATGTTTCTCTCTCATCGATGTTTCTGACTCTCTATCCCTCTCCCTTCCCCTCTGTAAGAAATCAATAAAATATATTTGAAAAAAAATGTGATCATGAAAACGGAAACAACACCTAAGTGATCTCTCTCATTTACCCTTGTGTTCTGTGGGAGTCGAACCCTCTCCCTGCCCCCCCTCCAGGCTGTTCCCGTTCTTTCAAAGCCAGCAGTCATGCCCCACCTGCCTAAATCTTCCAGGGCCTCCTGCGTTCCCCCACACCCCAGCTCCCTCCATCCAGGGTCCCACACTGCGTCACTGTGACCTCCCATTACACCACTGTGCTCCCAGCTCTGGCCTCGCTGACCCTATCTGTCCACCCCGTTCCCACCTCCAGGCTCTGCCCAGCTCCCTCTGCCCGGCCAGCGTCACATTGCGGGACACATCACCCAGAAGGCTGGCTGGTCAGAGTAGCAGGGACTCCTACCTGGGTCATTCCAGGAGGGTGAGGCCAGAGAGTGCTTGTGGGGCCAGCGTGGGCCCCCACAGAGGAGGTGTCCACAGTCTGTTACATTCACCCCCTCGACAAGTGTTTATTGAGCAACTACTATAAGCAGGGGAGGGACTTCAAGGCAGAGTCCTGTCCGCAGGGAGCCCTGGTCCACTGGGGTGGAAGCGCACAGGTGACTTCAGCTCAGTACTAGGCACCGGAAACCGCAGGGCAGCCTCATGGTGGAGGAGGGGACCCTTTTTTTAAAAAAATATATTTTATTGATTTTTTACAGAGAGGAAGGAAGAGGGATAGAGAGTTAGAAACATCCACGAGAGAGAAACATCCATCAGCCGCCTCCTTCACACCCCCCACTGGGGATGTGCCTGCAACCAAGGTACATGCCGTTGACCAGAATCGAACCTGGGACCCTTCAGTCCGCAGGCCAACGCTCTATCCACTGAACCACACAGGCTACGGCAGGAGGGGACCTTTTATGTGACGCCCACACAGTAAGCAAGGGCAGCCCGGGACAGGCAGCTGGGGATCGTGTCCCAGAGAGAGGAGGGGGAGGCGAGTGTGGACAAAAGGGGCCACGCGCTAACCTGACAGCTCAGGGAAGGCCTGCATGGTGTTCTTGCAAAACCCGAGACCTAGAGG